TCTCTGATTAGTTTATCCAATTGACCAATAACATGGGTGGGTTGTCTGGGGAATAAGGTAATAAAATATGATTAACCTAGGAACAAAAAAATTTGCAATAATGGTCTTAAACTCCTAAAATGAATTTTAACCAAACCTTTGCTTTTTTTTGTTTTGTTTTTTTTGGCAGTACTGGGGGATTGAACTCAACCTTTGCATGTGCCCTACTGTGATGAGGAAAGAGAGGTTTTCAAGTGGCCACTACGAGAATAACATTAACTAATTGCCCACAGTCCATTTATCTCACAAGAAGCTTCAATCTTTAGAATAAAAGTAAGATTTTAAAGAACCAACCAACTAGATGCTGGTAGCTCATGTGAGGCTGGAGTTGCAAACCCATACCGACACTCCCCCCAAACACACAAAGGACTAACCAAGGTAACCAACAAAAAATCTTCAAAGACATGTTTAGATAAGTAACATTTTAATAAAGGGCATAACACTCATGCAATGATTAGCGTATCATATTGTTACTACAGCTTGGAGATGGAAATTAACAACCCCTAAATTTTAGAAAAAAACCCATGAGAATATAGAGACAAAAGGAAAAGCAGTGCTCACATATAATATATCCATAATTGGGAAATTACTTTGTATTCAGGGGCTTCATGAATACAGATGTTCCTACTGTTTTCAATAATGCAACATTTATCATTTTTAAGTCGAAATTTCAAAAGTATCACTGAACAGTGAAACAAACCAGAAAGTATCATAACACAATTTTCAAACAGCCAAACCACATTACTAAGGGAAAATTATCTAAAAAAAAAAAAAAAACCCCAACAAATTTTAAGTAACATTGTTTTACTTAAAACATCTTAAAGGCAAATAATCTTAATTCATGATTATATGTCACAGAAATACAGACAGAGTTTGTCTAGTTAATGAGCCAATGGATTTCACTTGGTTCCTACTATAATAAAATTTAGAAGATAAAATGTTGACTTCAATTCTAATAAGGCCTTCCAGTTGCTAAAGTTTTTATAATCAAGTAGAAGAACACATTCACTGCTACACTCTTGTAGAGGAACCTGGTCAATAAGAATTTACATTCCAAGAACCTTACCTGGAGCAGTACTTTCCCACTGTACACGCTCATGGGATACATAGTGCCAAATGTCACAGCGCAATGGCTAATTGCAGAGGCAGTATCTAGCAGCAGTATTACTAAAGGGAAAACAGAATTTTCAATCTTAAATAATATTTCAATGGGCATCTTAAAATTCAATCTACTGAGATTAATTATCTAAAGCAAGAGGACTGTGTTATCACAAAAATGGCTACTACTGACAAGGGAGTACCTAAAGAGGAAAAAAATATTCCAGGTTCTAGAATCAGGAATATTATCAAAGTTCAGTGGAAAAGGAACTAATAATTATGTAAGAGAGAAAAGAGGTGATGAAGAAAAATGTGAGCATTTCCTCACTATGTTTTTTCAACTTACTTGACAAAACACAGTGAGGAAAGATTTTAGATATATCCAGTTGCTTGAATTAGACAAAAAACTTCAAGTACTAATTTCTGATACATAGAGACTAATGGATTTCTTCAGTGATTCCATCAATTTTCCTATGAACAATTCTTAAAATAAAAAGTTGAAAAATTCCTCAAGAATTTATAAGCTAAGATTCTCTAGCAATACTATACAACATTATGGCTGAAGTGTACCATCTCAGCAATAGTTCAGATTTTGCTGAAGTTTTATTAACAAGAGAAATCAAAATGTCAATGGTTAATAAGCTGATCCTGCACACTTTTTTTACTGCATCCCTAATGCTGGAAATAGAAACATAAATAAGCCTGACCTTGCTTTGGAAATAGCAGGAATACATATATTACCCATGTATTGGTTACTTAAGTCTCTACAGGGTGTCAGATGCACAAATGAATAAGTGATACAGCTACTGGGGTGGGGATAATCCAGGAAGCTAAATATAAAATGAGCAGGTAGGCCTTCAAAGATGAGTGAGATAATGGGAAGAAGCTATTCCAGACAGTAAAAGCAGCATGTATGAGGGTAAGAAAACTCTGATGCAGCAACAAAACCACAAACACTGCAGTGCAGATACATGGGAAGTAGGGACTCAAGCAAATATTTGAACACCCATGTTCATAGTAGCATTATTCATAATAGCCAAATTTTTAAAAATGAAAATAACCCAAATATCATTGATGGATGAACGGGTAAACAAAATGTGTTATGTACATATAACGAAATGTTATTTTGCCTTAGAAATGAAGGAAATTTTGACACATCCTACAAAATGGATAAACCTTGAAAACATTATGCTACGTGAAATAAGCCAACCAAAAAAAGACAAATGCTGTTTGAGTCTACTTATATAAAGAAGAATAGTTAAAACCAGAGGCAAAAAGTAGAATGGTGGTTTGTAGGGATAACAAATAGAGGAAAAAGGGGAGTTATGTTTGAATTTAGAGTTTCAGTTTGGGAAGATAAAAAGGTTTTAGGGATGAATGTTAGTTAGTGATGGTTTCACAAAAAATGGGAATGTACTTAATGGCACTGAACTCCATGGTTAAAACAAAAAAAATTTAACACAATTTTTCAAAAAGAATGAACTGGAATAAATGGTAGTAACATTCACTGAGTGGGGAAATGCAAGAGTTTTGGTGATACTGTGAAAATAGGTTCAGCTGAGACAGACATGAATACAAGTCAGGGAGATAGCGCCTTTTGTAATTCAATAGAGATCTGGACTAGACATGCAGATCTGGAAAGCCTCAGAGGTAGTAAAAAAATTTAAGTGATTTTTTTCGGAGAATATACAAAACAATAATGATGATGATTTAAGGACAGACTCTACTAAACAGCAATATTTAAAGGGTAAAAGGAATCATGTCATAAATGTTAATATTAAAGCAGCTATAATGTCTATTTCCTCAAAGACTTTATTTATGTATTTTGGTGGGACTGGGGTTTGAACTTAGAGCTTCATGCTTTGCAAAGCAGGTGCTCCATCTTGAGCCACACCTCTAGTTCATTTTGCTCTGGTTATTTTGGAGATGGGGTCTCGAGAAGTATTTGCCCAGGCTGGCCTTGAACCATGATCCTCCTGATCTCAGCCTCCCAAGTAGATAGGATTACAGGTATGAGCCTTCAGTGCACAGCTCTAAAATGCTTTATTTGAAAAATTACTTCACACCTACTTGAAAACACTTGAGGACAAAACTTGACCAAAGTTATACAGGTTACAAGCAAAAATGCTAGAAGCTTGACCACAATCCATCTTGCCCATGCCTTAAAAGTCAGGCCTCAAGAATCAAAACACACTTGACAGCAATAAAAAATACTTACTTAATTTCAATTAGCATGTATGTAATACAAAGAGCAAATGCTCCAGCAAGATCAATCAAAACAAATGGATTCATTCGGGGAAGGAAGATACTACTAAGTCCTGGAATAATTCCACACAAGCTATGAAAAACCAAACAAAAAGAGAATTCATTAGCAGAGTTCACATTATACTGATGAAAACCTTGTAAAAGTAACTTACATTGTACTTTTTAAAGAAGGCAAAGAGGACTTGGGCACAAAGCTCTATCACTTGCAAAGATCTTGTTTGTGTATCACTAACTAAAAAGTAAACAGAGAGTAATAATATGATCTGTGCCATTCATGCAGTAAACTAGTGATAAATGGTCTAAAGCTCCCTCTTTTTAGTTTTAATGTTTTCAGTGGTGCTGGTAATTAAACCCAAGACCTTGTGCATGCCAGACAAGAGCTCTACCACGGAGCTAAATCCCCACCCCAATGTAAGGCTTCTTAATAGATGAACTTCTTATGAGTTCTTTTTAAAGTATGCATATCATAAAACTCTGTAACTTCTTACCTTCGACTAAGATCTGCAACATGCTCTTGAAGCCAGCTTGTACTAGCAGCTTTAGGAAGAAAACACTTAAATTATCTACATAGAAGAATAAACCACTATTAGAAATACTTGAGTTCTTTTATTTTAAAAATAAGTTTGGGAGTGACAATATAACATAACAAATGGACATGTTACTCCTGAAATCTAGAACTTTTTCCTTTTTTATGCTCTTAAGATGCTAAGTCAAATATAGTTTTAACCATAATAAAGGATTGATCTGAAGGAATTAGTGAACTTAAATTAATTTGAAGTTTTTAAAGGCTTTTTATATAGTAAAGCACAGCTTCATAAGCACTGTGCTGAGAATGTGTTCTAAGTATACCAACTATTATTTCCCTTGGCTCTCAGAAAATCAGGTGGGGATGTGGGTACATCCAAAAACACCTGCCAATGACTGTACATGGACAAGTAGCCTCCAGATTCACACATCCTCTTCCATTTACCCCAGGGTGCTAAAGAAATAGTCATTTTCTTATAAGTATATAATGTAAAAGAGATTGGCAACCCTACACAAAAGACTAGCAGAGTAGTTTATGACTCTGATATTAGAATGTCTGGATTCACACCTGTAACCTAGCTCCTTGGAAGGAGGACTGCAGTTTGAAGCCAGTCCAGGTAAATAATTTGAGAGAGACTATTCTGAAAGTACCCAACACAAAAAGGACTGGCGGAATGGCTCAAATGGTAGAGCTCCTGCCTAGCAAGCAGAGGCCCTGAGTTCAAGCTCCATTACCACAAAAAAAAAAAAAAAAAAAAAAAAATCCAAGCTCAGCCTATAACTAAGTGAATGACTTTGAACAAATGATTTAATCTCTCTGTGCCCCAAGGTTAAATGGGGACAGTAAAATTATTTACTTCATATGACTATGCAGAGAATTAGATGGGTTATTCTGAATAAAATAAGAATTTCAAGTAAAATCACGAATCAAGTAAAATCCCACAAAAAAGAAAATATATATTCTGGTGATTATAACTAGCTTTATTTAAATAAAGATCTTTGGTATGCAGTTCATGCAGTAATTTTTTTCTCCTTAGACTGGAGTTTGAACTTTAGGGCTTCACTCTTGCAAAGCAGATGCTCTATTGCTTGGGTTACACCTCCAGGTCATTTTGTTCTGGTTATTTTGGAGATAGCATTGAGAACTATTTGCCCAGGCTGGCCTCAAACCTCAATCCGTCCAATGTCAGCCTCCCAAGTACCTAGGATTACAGGTGTGAGCTATCTGTGTGGTGTCCAGCTTCATGCAGTAATTCGTAAACTTTAACTCATATAAACATAATTTGTCTTCCTAACACTTAGGAAGTTGTTTGAATTTGAATGAGCATTTCAGAAAGCTTCCATCTTTTTACTGTCCTGGTGTGCACACATCAGTAAAACCTACAAAGATCCTCCTCTGTCTTTGCTTCTCTATGTGGATCTGTGTACACATCCTCTTTTGTTTTCACCTCACTATTCTATCAGTTAGCAGCTAATCTCTTGTTGATTGGTAGGATTTCAAACCATTAAAATTGTTAAAACTGCCAATAATTTATACCACTGAAATGAAAAACCTGTAAGGACTTTAAAATAAAAGAACACTTCAAAAGATACAAAGTTTTGGTACTATCAAATACATTCCTATCCACTTATTGCCGAAGAGCAATTCCTGGGAACTTATTTCATTAATAGAATACAATTATTTTCAGTCAGCACGTCAACTATTCCATGTAAGCCAATGCTTTTATGTTTACAACAGACTTTTCTTAGGTAGAGTATACATCTAAAATCTCACCCATTCATGTTATTTGGTAAATGTAATTTTTTTTCTTTTTCTTTGGCGGTACTAGGGATTGAGCTCTTAGGCTTAGGCAGGTGCACTACAACTTAAGCTGTTCCCCCAGTCCTTTCATTGCTATTTTTGAGATAGGGTCTCATTTATGTCCGGGGCCAGCCTGGACCCTGATCCTCCTATTTATGCTTCCCCATAGCTGGGGATGACAGGCACAAGCCATTGTGCCCAATCACTGGTTGAGATGAGGTCATTCAAACTTTTTGCCTGGGCTGGACTCAAACCAGAATCCTCCCGATCTCTGCCTCCTAAGTAGCGAGGGTTACAGGCTTCAGCCACCACTCTTAGCCAGTAAATGTAACTTTTCATCACACATAATTTAATATACAGATCAGCCCTGCCTGTTGTTATATATTATTTGAAAGCGTGAGTTAATGAGATTTTGTTTTATAATCTTCTGCTTAAAGAATATGTGAGGACTTTTGGCCTGCTTCTTCCTTCTTTTCTGAAAATACTCTCATGTATCTACATGTCAATAAGGCAAAGAAAAGACTTTCTATAAGAGATTAAGTGGACATCTCTTAATAGCCAATAAAAAAAAACATACCTTCAGAGACATATGCAAAAGGTTTATTCCGAATAGAAAGCATCGTGAACAGGTTGAAAGAAAGAGCCACAAAAGTACCAACTAATAATCTTCCCCTAAAAAAAAAAAAAACAATAATATTCACTTTTACTTTTTCTCTTGGCAATATCAACATGTAATTTCACAAAGTACAGAGATTGAAGTCTACAAAGGTAAAGAAAAATCTGCTGTAAGGGTATGGTATTTCCAGAGCCAGCATCTGGTCTTAGTAACTAGCCACACAATCTGTGTACTGTCTGCTGGTGCTACATCTTACACAGGACAAAAAAAGGCCTCTTATCATTAACAATATCTTCTTATAGGTAATTACTATAATAAATTTGTATAAATGCTAATGCAATTTGGTTTATAACACATTGGACAAGCCAGACTTTCCTGAATTAACTGATCAGAATTTGAAATTATAGAAGATTCAAGGGAGTTGGTCTTTAGCCTTAGTGTGTTGATCTGGATCTGTAAATTACGAAGGACTTGAAGCCAAGGTAGAAAGACCTTCTAGTGCAGTATAATAAATATGTCTAGGTCCTACGAACTGTTAAGGGGAAAAGGAGTCTTGGGATTTGGAGATTTTGTTTTTGAAATGCTAGAGTAAACGTATACTGCCACACTTTGAACTCTGCCATTGTACAAAGTAACTATTACCAATTAGTAATTGAAATGAATAGTACATTATACATTGCATTAAAATTAAAATTTTGGGCTGGGGTGTATCTCAGTTGTAGAGCTCTTGTTGCATAGCATAGATGAGGCCCTGGGTTTGATTCCCAGCACTACAAAAAATAAATAAAAAATAAAATCTCACGTGTGTATCTCAGGCTGTTCCAAAAAGCGTTCTACACTAAAAGAAAGAAAAATATATTAAATAAACCCGATTTTAAAACTACAAGCCTGTTTTAAATATACAATTAATCTACGTTAAAGTTCACAAAATCTTTTAACATTATAACAGTCATAAGGCTAGGAGCTTCACAAATTATTCTCAGAAAGTAATATTAAGCTGGGTGCTGGTGGCTCACTCTGGCAATCTTAGCTACTCAATAAGCAGAGATCAGGAGACACACAGTTCAAAGCCAGCCCAGGCAAATGTTTCGTGAGACTATCTCGAAAATACCTGACACATAAAAGGGCTAGTAGAATGGCTCAAGTGACAGAGCACCTACCTAGTAAGCATGAAGCCTTGAGTTAAAAAAAAAAAAAAAATTAATCTTTCTCAACCAAACCTGTTTCAATGGGTTTGTGATAAACATCAAGCCATGGCTTACTAAATCTCTTTCTTTCATTCAGATCCACCTACTATTGAATTTGGTTACATCAAAAAAAGAAATAGAAGTGGAAAAAAAGAAAGTCTGAAATAAGAAATTGTAATACCAAAACTCTAGCACTGCTCATATTAATTTGCATGCCCTTCAAACCAGATGTGTTTCCATGGATTCCCAAAAGTGCATTGGTAGGATTTAGAACAATATATTGAATGTACCTTTCTTTTAATATGAAAAGCGCTCCCAACTGTGCCAAGACTGTGGAAGCAAATACAGCCAGAACTTCTAATCTTTCAAACCTGAAATCAGAAAATTAATTAGATCACCATAATTTTTTGAATTCACAACTAGCCTCTTTAAAACACATTTGCATTCATTTATTCATTCTCTAAATATACGCATGTGCAGTCTACTATTAGCAAATGCTACTCAATCAGACTACAAAATCTCTAGAAGGAAATTGAAAAGAAGTGAAAAATTAAAGATTAAAGAAAAGAGTACCTATTTATTCAACATATATTCCCTGGACCTATTTATGGTCCTTATTTTTGTAGAAATAACCATTATTATAATAATAGCTAACATTTTATTGTCCCAACTTGCACTAGACATTGGTTAGTGCTTGCCCTATTACCTCATTTAAACATTGAGTACTTATGAGGATTACTTTATCCACTTTTTCCCTCTGAACAGATAAGGAACACATAGAGGAAAAGTAACTGTTCAGAATCATGAAAAAGTAAGCTTTTCAAATTCAAGTGTTCTTGATTTTAACTTTTTATACTGTCTCTCGTTTCCACATGTATTGCAGTTAATTATGAATATGCTTTTTAATCCCTAAACTCTAAGCTAGAGGTCAGGGACTATTGTTTTATTCATTACAGTTTTTCCAATATCACATAGTCTAATGGTCCCTGATACATATAATAAGTTTAAATGCTTAACATTCTCAAGGAAATAATCATGAAGGTTCAAATATAAGGTCGGAATCATGTCATAAAAGATGTTCATCATATTGCTGTTTGTAAAGGAAAAATGCTGGAATCAAAATAGAGCATTATGTATTATTAAAAACATAATAGGGCTGGTGGAGTGGCTCAAGTGGTAGAGCACCTGCCTAGCAAGCGTGAGGCCTTGAGTTCAAACCCCAGTACTTTCTCCAACCAAAACAAGTTCTAGGATTTGAGCCAAACCCTCAGCCCTAAAATAAGTTTCTTAAAATACTAAAGAACTTACTGTGATCACTTTATGTTAATATTTATTTCATAAAATATAATAAAACTGAATGTGAACATTTATATTTTCAAGGTTCCTGTTTTTTTTCTAGACTCTTCTTAGATGGTGCTTTTCTGTCTACTTACACTATTTGATTATTATGTCATTAAACAGACAGCATTTTTTGCCTAAAAATACCACAGTTAGCTCTTTACTGTACTAGTATCTTAAAAGCAGTAAGTTAGCAGAAAATAATTTGAACTTACCCAAATGAATAGACAGGACTAGGTTTCCTCATCATTACCCAGTAACTTATTAAACATGTTATTAAACTAAGTAGAAAGAAAAATAAACTTAGCATTAGAATTAGACCTCTCATGCAGAGACAAATTAGGTTTTCAGAATTCCTAACTTGCTGAAAGTTAATCAGTGTTGGCACAAACTAAGTTAAATTATTCTAGTAATTTATAATCTAATCACATCCTAACCCATGGTATACCTGGATGATGACATTTTCAACATGGGAAGAAACTAAAAGAAGTTATAAGTCACCATTAAGTCAGTTAAATAGAACCTAAACCCATACTTTCTATGAAATGTTATCCATCCTCAATAATTTACATAACTAGGAATAAAAAGATACAAAATAATTACAATGGCTATATATTTTATTCTAGCATATAAAGTGAATGTTAACATTGATAAATCAACTTTTATTATGTAACTATTAACATCTGTGTGGGATAAAATTATTTTCATTTTTCAAGTACAGTGGAGGTTTACTCTAACAGAACTTACTAATGTATAAAATTAATGAAACAAGTATTTGTTTTATACCCATTTAAGGTAGTTTAGTTATGGGAGTAATGAAAAGACATCTTTATAACACTCCTATTACATGAATCTTGAGAGATTCATTGAAGAGATCAATGTCTAAGTATTTTGCAATCCAATTCCTTATATGGACATATGAAAGGCCCCATGAAGCAGGGAGCCAACAGGCTGTCTCTCTAGCTCACGATTCCTCACTTCTCAGTAGTAATTATCCCTCATTTCTTTTCATGTCTATACACTTACAGCAGGAACTTTTGTGTTCTTAGGTGACTCTGCTCCCAGTCCATAGCTGACTCACCCATGGGTACACACCTGAATCTCTAAGCTGGGCCAAATCTGCTCTGGAATAATTTAGAATTGCAGCCAAGGAATTCCAGGCTTATCTTGGATACTTTCTTACACAAAGGAAATGCAAATTTGAAAGTTGGAAGCATTACCTATATTGCTATCCCTGTATCTGGGAGCAGGGAAATCTGACCATAAGAAAGCAACAGATGGGTACTGGTGGCTCATACCTAGAATCCTAGCAACTTGGGAAGCTGAGATCAAGAGGACTGCAGTTTGAGGCCAGGCCAGGCAAATAGTCAAATAGTTCTCGAGACCCCATCTCTAAAATAACCAGAACAAAATAGACTGGTGGTATGGCTCATGGGGTAGAGAGCCTGTTTGCAGCCAAAAAAAAAAAAAAAAGAAGAAGAAAGCAATTCAAGGGGGGTTCTTTGCAAAGGGAACAGACACGAGAGACGGAGAGGACAGATTTCTACACTGCTATAGTCTTGAGGCCTACCTCAGTATCTGCCCTCAGATTCCATGAAACACTCAAGATAGCTCTGATGGGAGTCATATAGTTAAAACTAAAAAGACTTCTTCCCACTCATCATGACAAAGTTCTTATGGTCTGCTAAGGTCATTTAGAATCATCCAATTAATTAATTCAGCAAGAATTTTGTATTTAGATTGACGCTATGTTAAAAATCCATTTGGTCTTGAAGAGGTGGATAATTTTTTGCTTGTTTAAGGCACAGTCTTTCTATGTAGTCCAGGCTGGCTTCGAACTTGAGGCTCAGCTGCTCAAGTGTGTTTGCAACCATGCTCAACCAGGGTGGATAACTTTTTACTACTGACAAATACAGATGAGAACCCTCAAAGTAGGACACTTGAAAAATCCATTGAGTATGTCTGAATATTAGTTTTAAAATATTTTATGCTTAAAAACAACTGAATGAAAATCTGAAACCTTTACTATAATTCAGTAATTTTAAGAAGTGTATATTTTCGTATTTTATTAATCCTGAAATCAGAATGAATGTTACAATTTGAGGCAATCACAGTTGAACAGGCAGCAGTTTTCTCTTTCTTGGTGCCACATAAAATATTTTTGTGTTTTATAATTGTTGGGATGTAATAGTTGATGAAATATGGGATGTCATTCTACTTTATTACCATTAGTATATAAATCAGCACTCACTAATTGATAAATCATTCAGTACATTTAATTTTACTTATCTATATACATCGATTCTCATCAATCTCCATAGTTTTAACAACATGATCTTGGTATTAAGGTTCTGCATTAAAACATATGTCTATGGAGTGGGACATGGATCAAATAGTAGAGTGCCCTATCATCCCAGCTGTTTGGGAAATGTAAATAAGGCTGAGGTCAAGTCTAGCCTGGGCATAAACACAAGGCCTATTAGAAAGATAACTAAAAGGCTGAAGGTGTGGCCAAGCAGCAGAGTACCTGCCTAGCAAGTGCAAGGCACTGAGTTCTAACCCTAGTACTGCCAAAAAAAAGTAACAAAAAATGTCTACCTCTATGTAACATGAGACAAGTGAAAGTCTAAATGAACCTAAATCATCTTTTTTTTCTGAAATGTTATATATATTTGATTTATAGAACATATTTAGGTCTCTAAAAAAAAAACCTCCTCAAAGTAAGTGAAAAGACCATAAAACTTCAAGACATTAGGGAGATATTATTCTATTATTATTTTTTATCTTACTATATATTACTATTACTTTAGTATTATCATCAGTATGGTTTGTAACATTAATAACTATTCCTCTAACATATTTGAAGCTGCATTTATTTATTTTGAGTTAGTACTTTGTTTACACAATTGAAAGTTCAAAATGGATGAAAAGATATAAGGTGGGATTATTTTAAACTTGTTCCCTAGCCACAGAGTCTTCCTCAAATAAGTAATCATTATCATCAGTTTTTTAATTATTCAACCCATGTATATTTACATAAATGCAAGTACATGGATGTATAGTGCTTTCTTTCTTTTTCTTTTTTTGGTTGCACTGGGGTTGACCTCAGGCTTGTTAGGCAGGCGCTTTACCATTTGAGCCACTCCACCAGCCCTATACGTGTATAGTGTATATTTGTGTATGTACGTGTGGATTCTTCTTACTCCTAACTCCTTTTTATTAGAAATCTGCAACATACTATACACACTGTTGTTTAGCTTGCACTTTCCACTCATTAGTACCCTTGTATATTCTATGTCAGTATATAAAATGCTTTGACCTTATAGTTTATGGCTTGCTAATATCTGATACACACATCAAAGGTTCTAAAAATTATAGTCCGTAGATGAATCCTGTCAGTTTTACTAAATGTTAAAAATGCAAACTCTTGGGCCCCACCCTATACTTCCTGAATAAGAAACTGGAACTGGAGCAATCCATATTTTAAAGTTTTCCAAGTTCAAGTGGTAGAACACCCGCTCTGCAAGTCTGAAGATCTTGAGTTCAGTCCCATCCAAAAAAAAAAACCTTTCCATATAATTCTGATGTATGCTCAAGTTTGACAACCCATGGTAAAATGCACGCAAAAATAAATATGCCAACATCGTGCCCTTTGCCCCAGCAGATCCCCATAGCAGAAACCAGTAAAGCCAGCACAGGATGCCCCGTGCAGGATAAGATAAACAGGATGGGGGCAGGTGAAATGTGAGGAATGTGAGAAATGTGAGCAGATTGCGAAAGACGACTAGAAGTACATGCAAAATGTGCCCTGCCTGCTTGCTAAATGTAACCGTGTGCGCGAATACTGACCCTTGAATCTATAGGCTAAAAAGTAATGTACTCTTAAATGGATAGGCTGGAAATGTATGTGGTGTTACAAACTCATTGGCTATGTACTGTGCGGGCTTTTGCTGTAACGGCCGGTAGGGGCCTATATAAGATCTTCCCTAAAGAGGCTCGGGGTCTTGTCTGCCCAATCGGACCTGTGGTGTCTGTGTGGGAGCTTGACCCTGGCTTGCCAGCTCAATAAACTCTGCTTTGTTGATTGCATTCACGTGTGACTCTCTGTCTCTCGAGGAATAGGATTCTCGGACCCTAACATTGGAGGTCCCACCGAGATCCCTTTTTCGAGAAGGCAGACAGTCCACGAGAAAGCAGAGGTGATTCCAAGTCCTAGCATTGGGAGAGTCTGAGATTCTCATTTGGAGGGAACTAATTGGTAGATGATTGTTCCCGTTTGGGCCGTGGCGGGATTTGGCCAATCCCCGGGGAGAATCATTCTGGGAATCTCGTTAAGGGGACCACATGGTCCTGCTGGGAGAGGCTTTCCTCTCATTTGGGCTCGAGCATTTCAGGAATCCTGGCGCAGGTGAAGAACTAATTGAACTAGTCGAATGACCACCCGTCAAGTGGACGCCTTTCGGCCTGATATCCAAATTGGACGGTGAGGAGGTTGAATGGGGTGCGCACCAGCGTGAGAGAAGGACCGGTCCAAGCGAGTGGTGGAGAGTGTTCTGTGTGTGTGGAGTTATTGTTGCTTTCACCCTTTTTGTTCTATCTCTCCTGGTGGTTGCTTCTCATCCCACAATGGGACAGGGACAAGCAACCCCAAAGTCTTTGATTCTCTCTCACTTTCCAGAAGTCAAAAAAAGGGCATTAAATGCGGGTCTGGTCATTAAGAAAGGTAAGTTCGACACCCTTTGTTCTGCAGAATGGCCCACCTTCGGAGTCGGATGGCCTATTCAAGGTTCCCTCTCCCTAGACCTGATCACTAAGGTCAAGGCTGTCGTTTTCCGACCAGGCAATCAAGGCCACCCAGATCAGGCCCCCTACATTTTGGTTTGGGAAGATTGTAGCGGGGAACCCCCCCCTTGGTTAACAGCTTTTCTGACTCACCCCTCCAGTTCGGCTCTCGGGGCTAAAACCCCAGTCACGCCTGCCTTGGTCATAAAAGAGGAAGAGAAACCTCCCCTTCCCTCCCTGACCATCCTCAAAATAGGACACCCTCTTTACCACCCCCGGTCTTACTGGAGAGTTCCCTCCTTTACCCGTCCCTCGAGGGGGTAGAGGAAGATCGGCCGCCCCCATATGTGACTCCCTCTGGTCAGGCCAGTGCTCCGGAGGAGGAAATTTCCGCATCCTCCTCAACAGGACCGACGGCTGGAGGAGGAATGGGTCGAAGACTCCACCCCTGAGGGGTACGGGAAAGGGAGGGAGAAGATGGGCCCTCCTCATCAACACATGGGGAGGAAATTGTCCCCACATTTCCAGTCCAGACGGTAGGCCAAGGAGGACCGGGAGGGGGGCAACAGTTTCAGTACTGGCCCTTCTCCTCCAGTGATCTATATAACTGGAGGATGCAGAACCTGCCCTTTTCAGAAGACCCTAAGTGTCTCATAGATCTCCTGGAGTCCGTCATGCATACACAGTGCCCCACATGGGACGACTGTCACCAGCTGCTCAATACTCTTTTTACGATGGAGGAGCAGGAGCGCATCCTCCACGAAGCTAGAAAGAACGTCTTGGGGGACAACGGGAGACCCACAACCCTCCAACCGGCCATAGACGAGGCCTTCCCCTACGCCACCCTGATTGGGATTTCGGGACCGCAGAAGGTCAGGGAGCGTCTCCGAATCTACCGCCAGACTCTTATGGCAGGTCTCCGAGCGGCCGCTAGGAGGCCCACCAACTTTGCAAAGGTAAAGGCAGTTGTCCAAGGGGAAAATGAAAGCCTGGCCGGTTTCTTAGAGAGCCTCTATGAGCCATCCATCAGTACACCCTATTGACTCCCAGGTGGCGATCCACCGGTCTGCTGTTGGTATTCTCATTCATTAATCAGGCAGCTCCAGACATTAGGAGAAAACTCAATAACAGGAAAACTTAGGGGAAGATAA